CAGGCGCCGTGTAGATCTCCCACACCAGAATAGGCATTTCCGCCAACAACCCGCCATTAGGGTCAGGCACGGCTGTTCCCATCGCACACGCCACACGCACCAACACACACGGCACACGGCACACGTCACACGTCACACGGCACACCATGAGCGAAAAAAGAGAAGACAGGCAAGGTGGTCGTGGCGTCGCACCAGTGATGAGCCTCATCAGGGTGGCCGGTCGCAGGGCCGTGCTGGGCAGCCGCGCGTAGGCCTCTATGGGCGAGGGGGACGTCACCTCGGCCCCGCAGTCGAGCAGGTACTCGATCACCTCGTTGTGCCCCTCCTTCGCAGCCGACCACAGCGCGTTGCATAACTCCCTGTGTGCGCCAACTGGTCTTGAGCTCGTGTCGTGTCGCATGGTCGTGTCGTGTCGTGTGTGTTGTCGTTGATCGTATCGTACCCGGGAGCCAGCGTCTTGTGGAATTCGGGGCCAAAGAGCTGCACCACGGGCAGATGCCCACCACGCGCAGCGCGGCATACCGCGCTTCGCGCCTCCACGTCGGGCATCACAACGAACTGTTGAGGAGTTAAGGCCGGGCGGATGCCGAATCCGAATCCGAGTGTGGAGCTGCTGAGGCTGTAGAGCTTTACCAGCTGCGCTACCACCTTTGTATGTCCCAGCTGGTTGTGTATGTGGTGTGTGTGTTAGACTAGGCTCAAACGCAACAGGGAGTGTCGACCAGTAATACCGAACTCGCAACAAGGAGCGCCGGAAAGGCCTCTGATTTGGAGTTGCCGGTTAGGCTGTGGTCGTGGAGGAGCTGAATGAGCTCGTGGTTGCCCCAGCGCGCGGCCTCCAGCATCGGCGCATAGCCCATCAGTGCCTCTTCAAGTCCGCGACCCAAACTTGTTCTTGTCGGCTGCCCACTCGTGAGTGCGCCTCTCTGAATGAGCACCTGTGATGTTGTGATGAGCAACACACGACACACGACACGCACAACACACGGTACACAACACACGCACCTCAACGCTCTCAACGTCATTGGCGCAGGCGGCAGCGCGGAGGGCCTTGGTGACGGCCGTCGAGGCGCGGGCGGTGATCGACAGCTCGCGCCAGTAGCGCCGGAGGAGGGTGGCCACGAGCCGCGTGCACCCAAGCCGCGCGGCCCACTCGAGCCGGCCCTCGGGTGACACGCCCCACTTGCGCACGCGCCGCACCTTCCACTCCAAGGCCGCGCGCCACTCGTCGGCGCCGAACCAGGCCTCGCGCTCGACTTGCCGCAGCCTGCGGCTCAGCCGGTCACGTTCGAAGGGCCTGCCGACCACTCGGTACCTGCCCATGCCCGTCTGGAAGGCGGCACTGCCAAATGCTGACGTGGCATCGGAGTCTGTGAAGTGGACGGGGTAGTTGAGGGGCAGGGCGGGGGCGGTGAGCAGGGCGGGCACGAGGGGGCCGCCCAGCAGTTGGTCGTGGAAGGCGCGCCACAGGGGCGGGTCGGAGTGGAACACGGCGCGCCACCGACGGCAGGTGAGGGTGACCGCGGCCGTGTGGATGGGCTCCAGCAACCCGAACACGGCAACCCACACCTCGTCGGGCAGGTCGAGCACCTCTGCTTCGTCTTCCATCTTTCAATACTTTCATCGTGTTTCAGAAATTACTATCTACTAAGGTGAAACTGTGATTTTTCGACGAATTATTTTGCTGCCAGGAATGCCACGCAGCTGCCGTGGAATCTAACCGAGTCGACGCAAATACCTGTTGTACTGACTTTTAGTTGCGGCCTTCCCCCGAAGACAAATAACACACTCGCTGTATAGTACCCCCCCCCCTCTTTCTCCCCTTCGCCTCTGTCTTTTTGCTCTGTCGAGAGGCTTACACCAGTTCTTCTACAGAAATCGGAGATGGAGCAGTCGCAGTCCAGCGATCAACCAGAGGGGGGCAAGCAGAGGCAGGAAGAGAACAAGGAAGAGGAGGACCCTGTCGACGCACTGAACGAAAAACTGCGCACTGAAGCGTACGCCCTCCTCTGACTCTGCACCTCCACTGGGTGATCGTTTTCTGAGCGTCAGGACGGGGCCTTAAGCGCCACACTCCCTTCATGCAGTGTAATCGACAAGGTGGAGGCAGAGGCGGCGCAGGAGGCGGCAGCGCTCCCTCCCATCCAAGGGCCGTGGCGAGCCGTCGGTGAGTGGAGAGGCCAGACAATCTTGGAGAGCCCGGCGGAGCCCATTCCGATCGACATGAAGGCGCTCGATGCGTGGAATCTCGAACGCCTGACGAAGCGGGCCACGGAGGGCGATGCTGTCGCACAGTACCGTCTGGCCAAGGCGTACATGAAGGGGAACCACGACGTGGCCCAGAGCGCAGAGAATGCAGCTGGCTGGGCCGACAAGGCCGCCCGCCAGGGCCATGCCGGCGCGCAGTTCCTCCTGGGCAAGATGTACGCGGGCGGCTTCGGCGTGGAGCGGAACGCGGACGAAGTGCTGACGTGGTGGGCCAAGGCCGTTCGGCAGGGCAACAAGCAAGCCCAGTACCACCTGGGCCGCCTGTACGAAAGCGTTGGAGTCGTCACTACAGCCGCCCAGCTCACCGAGAAGGCCGCCAGCCAGGGGCATCGCGAGGCTCAGTTCAGCCTCGGCCTCATGTACAAGGAAGGTCGCAGCGTGGCGCAGAGCGACGAACTGGCCGTGGCCTGGTGGCGCAAGGCTGCCCACCAGGGCGAGTTCAACGCGCAGAGCCACTTGGGCTACATGTACGAGAAGGGCCGCGGCGTCGAGCGCCCGAGCGACGTCGAGGCCGCGGCCTGGTACCGCAGGGCCGCCATCCAAGGCCACAGCTCGGCCCAGTACAATCTCGCTGGGCTATGCCGCCAGGGCCGCGGCGTGGCTCAGAACAACAGCGAAGCCGCGACCTGGTACCTCCAATCCGCTCGCCAGGGTCTGGCGCTCGCTCAGTTCCACCTGGGCTGCATGTGCCACGACGGCGTGGGCGTGGCACAGAGCTACGAGGAGGCCGTGGCCTGGTGGAGCAAGGCCGCCCTTCAGGGTCACATCGGCGCGCAGTACGAGCTGGGCTGCTTGTACAAGGCTGGCCGGGCTGGCGTGCCGCAGGACATCGCCCTGGCGCGCAGGTGGCTGAGCGCGGCTGCGTCGAAGGGGTACCCCGAGGCTCAGGCCGAGCTGGCCTCCCTGCCCGATGAGTCATCCATCCTGGAAGGGTCAGACGAGCGCAAAGCAACCGAATGAAATTGCATTCTTGCCAAACTCTACACCAACCGAAGAAGCGAAGGTGATGATGAACATCGTGGTTAACGTTAAACCTTGGTGGAACCTAGGTTGTTTTGCGTGGAGAGACGAAACACTAAGTGTATTTGTGTGCTTTACCGCCTCCTGCACAGCTTGACCATGCCTAACAACAAAACGATGGGGAGAAAGACGCAACCGGCAACCAGCAGAACAAACACCACTGCGCAAAAGCCAGGTGCCGCGAGGCAGATGACTGTGTCACAGGCAAACAGTCATAGTAAGACCATCTGGAGTGGCTGCAAGAGGTTGGTGTGCAAGGATGAGGAGACGTACCTTGCGCCACGGATGACAGTGTAATGTACCCTCCAGACACCAGCTTGGCCATGATGAAGGTGACCAACGCAAGCACACCTACCACCTTAGCTTTGGCGGGTAGATCTAGGTGGTAATGAGAGAGGATCATCAGCTACTCGTAAGGGGGTGGGAGAAGAAGGGAAGACGTACCTGTGAGGAGCTTCTCCGCGGCCGATGGCGCGAGAATGGCCGCTAGCTCCTTGACGAGGTCGTCCGCCGAAGGTCGTGTGCTGGCCTCCTGGCGCCAGCATTGGCCGATGAGATCCTGCAGCTTCTCCCCGCGCCGCAGCCTCGTTATGCGCTTATCATCGAGCGATGGCCGGTTGCGCTCACTGGCGGCCCACCACTCGAGCGTGTCGCGAGGGTCAGCGTAGGGCAGACGCTCCGTGAGGAGTTCCCACAGCAGCTTGCCGAATATGAAGACGTCCTCCTTCATCCTCATCTCCGCTTCTTGGCCGGGCGTCAAGGCCGTGAATTTGGTCAGCTTTGGGGTGTTGTCGCTCATCACCACCACTCGGCGCAGCCTCAGGTCTGTGTGCGTGCGAGTGCGCGTGGGTGCGAATGAGTGTGCGTTCGCGCAAGGCGTGAGGGGGGGAGAGTAGCACCGCATGCGAAGGGCGGGTTTCGGGAGTGGAGGTAGCTCAGGCCCAGAGCCACGCCGAGCGCGAGCTTTACTTTGTCGGTGGCGGTGAGTCTATTGGCATGCTTTCGTATGTAGTGGCCCAGGCTTCTATGCTCAGCCAGCTCCGTGAAGAAAAGCCAATTCCTCCCGTCTTGATGTTCGCTCACGCCCTTTAGCTTGATGACGTTCTCGTGATCGAGTCTCCTGCATCACCATTTCTCCTGTCAACACGTCATGTCGTGCGTGTGCGTGTGCGTGTGCGTGTGCGCGTGCGTGTGCGTGTGCGTG